TACGAACGCAAAAAAATGCCAGGAACGAGCAGTTAAGGTTTGTTAGCAAGAAATGAACAGTTAAAACAAATACTTTATTTCTTAAAGCCCTGCTTCTACCTGCTAATACCTCCTTCAACGTTCGCCATTTTTTTTTTGTCTTCTCTCTACCAATCTCTCTCACCAAAAGTCCCCAAACGCTTCTTATGGATCCGTGGACTTGTTGGAATAATTTGATTGGTGGGTCGTAATTTCTGCCCACATTTGGTGGGGGAATGTGTTATTTAACTTATTTCTTGGAAGACAGTCTAGACAAGAGACCATTGATAACTTCAGTATTTGATTTGAAACAATAAAAAGCTCTAGGAATATCCAAGAAAGAAAAGTAATAGTAATTTCGGGTATAACCTTTGCACAAATTGATTTGTTTTTAATAACTCCATATTGTAGGAGAACCCGTTTTAAATATTATATTACTTCTCGAGCGTAAGCGTAAGCTTCTCGGTGGTCTCAACTGTCTTTTTAAAAATGTAAAACCATCTCGGGGGCGCCAAATGTCTTTTCTTATGTGAAACCTTCTCTAGCGTTCCCAACTGTCTTTTATTTAATGTGAAACCTTCTCGGAGGTCCCAACTGCCTTTTTTAAAAGTGTAATCTCCATAAACTTATCCTTATTCGCATAAGAAAAGCGCTCGTTTAGTTTTTTTTTTTTTGAAAATTTTGGAAAACGTTTGCCGATTTTTCTCGATTATTTCAAGAGGTAGAACAAAGGTAACTTGAAATTTGTAATTTACGAAAAACTCTCTATGAAGTCGTCCTTTTACCTATTGTAACGTGAGTCCATTTTGTTTTTTTTTTTAAATTTTTGGTTATTTGACGAAGCATACAGGGTGACCTATTTTTTCAGAGGATGTCATTTGCCAAAATTAGTCTTATCTTAGCAACGACTGGCCCCGCCTACCCGTCTTCTATTTTCTTAGAGGGTATGGCATTTGCCAAAATCAGTCTTATCTTAGCAAATAAGGTACTAGCATTTTAGCAAATGACATAACTTTTAAGAAAATAGAAGGCGGGTAGGCGGGGCTAGTTCTTGCTAAGATAAGACTAATTTTGACAGATGACATTTCCTTTGAGAAAACAGAGGGTGGGTGGGCGGGGCTAGTACTTGCTAAGATAAGACTAATTTTGGCAGATGACATTTCGTTTGAGAAAAGAGAGGGCGGGTGGGCGGGGCTAATACTTGCTAAGATAAGACTTATTTTGGCAAATAACATATCCTATGACAAAATAGGGGGCGGGTGGGCGGGGCTAGTACTTGTTAAGATAAGACTCATTTTGCCTCTATTAATTTTGTAAAAACTTGTTAAATTTAAAAGGTGTTAAATTGCAAATTTCCACAGTAACGACTTAAATTCCTAAATCTGATTGGGTGTTTATTTTTTATGTTTCATTCTGCGTCAGGAGCGGGGGAAGTTCTGTTGAAACAACTTTCGACCATTTTTTTTTTCTTTTTGAAAAAATATCCTGGTGGTTTTTGTTGGTTATTTAATAAATTAGCAGAACTAAAGTTAATTCAAATTCGTTGTCTATGAAGAATTTTCCATAAATTTAAGCTTTTTCTCAAACGAAAATGGCCCGTTTTAATTTTTTTTTAACAAATTTTCTTCAAAAATTTTTGGAAAATTTTGAGTTTTTTAGTTATTTCACGATGTAGAACGAAAGTTAATTCAGATTCTTAATCTACAAAGATTTCTCTATAAACGTATTCTATTTCCCATACGAAAACAGTTGGTTTTAATTTTTTTTTGAAAAATTTTTTTGAAAATTATTTGGCCATTTTTTTCATTATTTGTGAAAACAAAGCAAAAGTAAATTCAAATTTGTAACCGACGAAAACTTCTCTATAAACTTATCCTTATTCCCATAAGAAAAGAGCTCATTTAAAATTTTTTTTTGAAAATTTTGGAAAACGTTTGCCTATTTTTCTCTATTATTTCAAGGGGTAGAACAAAGGTGACTTGAAATTTGTAATTTTTTTATTTATTTTTATTTTTATTTTATTAATTAACGTTACCCAACAGGCCGGAGGCCCAATTACAGGGTAACGGGGGACATACACAACACCCAGAGCAGGGTGGGAATCGAACCCACGACCCAAAGTGTGGCAGGCAAGCGCGATGCTACCTAACCCACCCGGGTCCTCTAATCTACGAAAAAGTCTCTATGAAGTCGTCCGTTGACCGATTGTAACCTGAGTCCATTTTTATTTTTTTTTTTTCAAAATTTCTGGAAAATATCCAATTCCTTTTGATTATTTGACGAAGCATACAGTGTGAATCAAAAAATTTAATGACTCAATCAATTTATTTTGTTGGATAAATCAAGAATTGCAAATTATTGTAAGCACGTAAACAAATATATCCGTTTATTCCCCCCAAGAAATTGACGACGTCATCTCAAAAATGTGCAAAATATGATAAGTTTTTACTTGTGATTTATATTTTTTTACATTTGCCCCCTATTTTCTCAGAGGATATGTCATTTGCCAAAATTAGTCTTATCTTAGTAAGGACTAGCCCCGCCCACCCACCCTCTCTTTTCTTAGAAAGTATGAGATTTGCCAAAATCAGTTTTATCTTCTCGGGGGTCCCAAATATATATTTTTTTAAGTGAAAACCTTCTCGGTGTAGCCAAATGTACTATTTTTAAATGTAAAACCTTCTCGGGGTCGCCAATTGTTTTTTTTTTTATGTGAAACCTTCTCGGGGGTTCCAACAGTTTTTTTTTTTAATGTAAAACCTTCTCGGCGGCCTCAAATGTATTATTTTTAAATGTAAAACTTTCTCGGGGTCGCCAGTTGTCTATTTTTAAATGTAAAACCTTCTCGGGGGCCCCAAATATATATTTTTTTAAGTGAAAACATTCTCGGTGTCGCCAAGTGTCTTCTTTTTAATGTGAAACCTTCTCGGGGATCCCAATTGTTTTTTATTTAATGTGAAACCTTCTCGAAGGTGCCAACTGTATTTTTTAAAAATGTAAAACCTTCTCGGGGGCCCCAAAATGTATTATTTTTAAATGTAAAACCTTCTCGGGGTCGCCAATTGTCTTTTTTTAAATGTGAAACCTTCTCGGGGGTCCCAACTGCCTTTTTTAAAAATGTAAAACCTTCTCGGGGGCCCCAAATATATATTTTTTTAAGTGAAAACCTTCTCGGTGTAGCCAAGTGTCTTTTTTTTAATGTGAAACCTTCTCAGGGGTCCCATTGTCTTTTATTTAATGTGAAACCTTCTCGGAGGTCCCAACTGTCTTTTTTAAAAATGTAAAACCTTCTCGGCGGCCCCAAATGTATTATTTTTAAATGTAAAACCTTCTCGGGGTCGCCAGTTGTCTATTTTTAAATGTAAAACCTTCTCAGGGGCCCCAAATATATATTTTTTTAAGTGAAAACATTCTCGGTGTCGCCAAGTGTCTTCTTTTTAATGTGAAACCTTCTCGGGGGTCCCAATTGTTTTTTATTTAATATGAAACCTTCTCGAAGGTGCCAACTGTATTTTTTAAAAATGTAAAACCTTCTCGGCGGCTCCAAATGTATTATTTTTAAATGTAAAACCTTCAACGTAAAACCTTCTCGGGGTAGCCAATTGTCTTTTTTAAATGTAAAACCTTCTCGGGGGCCCCAAATATATATTTTTTTAAGTGAAAACCTTCTCGGTGTGGCCAAGTGTCTTTTTTTTAATGTGAAACTTTCTCGGGGGTCCCATTGTCTTTTATTTAATGTGAAACCTTCTCGGGGGTCCCAAATGTCTTTTTTAAAAATGTAAAACCTTGTCGGCGGCCCCAAATGTATTATTTTTAAATGTAAAACCTTCTCGGAGGTCCCAACTGTCTTTTTTAAAAATGTAAAACCTTCTCGGGGTCCCCAAATGTATTATTTTTAAATGTGAAACCTTCTCGGGGGTCAAAACTGTCTTTTTTTAATGTGAAACCTTCTCGGGGGTCCCAACGGTCTTTTTTAAAAATGTAAAACCTTCTCGGGGGCCCCAAATACATATATTTTTTTTAAATGTAAAAACTTCTCAGGGTGGCCAAATGTATTTTTTTAATGTAAAACCTTCTCGGGAGTTTCAACTGTCTTTTTAAAAATGTAAAAGCATCTCGGGGGCGCCAAATGTCTTTTTTTTTAATGTGAAACCTTCTCGGAGGTCACAACTGTCTTTTTTGAAAATGTAAAACCTTCTCGGGGACGCCAAGTGATTTTTTGTTTAGAATGTGAAACCTTTTGGGAGGGGTCCCAACTGCCTTTTTTAAAAATGTAAAACCTTCTCGGGGGCCCCAAATCTATATGTCCCCAAATGTCTTTTTTTAAGAATATTAAATGTTCTCGAGGCTCCCAACTGTCTTTTTTTAAGAAAGCGAAACCTTGTTTTTTCTATTACATTGTGACTAGTATGTACCTTCTAACGGGTGATCAAAAAGTTTTCAGATTAGGATTGGCCATGGAAATATTTGTCATGTCTTTGATCAAACTGCAAATGCATGCATAACCTCATTTGTAATTCAAAAATTTGATTTTTTGACATTTACAGTTTAATCAAAGACATGAGCAATATTTCCATGGCCAGCTCTAATCTGAAAACTTTTTGATCACCCGTTATATAGTTTTTTCTCCATAGAGGTTATCAAGAAAAAGTAAAATTCCGCAAAATCATCAAATTTTTTATTTCACTGACAAGATTGCATTGTAATGATCAAATGTTGCCAACCTGTATATACACACAAAAGCGCATCTTAGTTCTAATAATTGTTACATCCTTTCATGTGATGATTTGTCAATGTATGAATTATACCTACTTATTTGGGGTCAGGAAACACGCAACACAAATTAATTCCAAAAATTGCTGTGGGAGAATTGACGTAAGTAGTTCGAACAAGGAAAGTAAGTACCCCCACTTTTTGATTTTTGGTAAGAGATTTAATCAGAGTCACGAAAATAGAATTATCTCATTAAAATAATCACTATGTATCATTTGAAAATGTTTATTTAGCTCAGCTCTTAAACATGTGGTACAAAAGAAAATAGGCAAAATTAGCAATATTTTTGACAAGTTTGAATAACGAATTTCTGAAATTTTACAAAAAAAAAACACTAAATTGTTTCATTTTTAGATATGAGGCAGTACTGAGTCTTTTATTAGACTCTAGAACCATCTACTAGAGAACTTTTGTGAAAAAAAATGAAACAATTTCTAGCACATTTAATACCTTAATCTAGCACTGAAGAAGAATAAAGCAAAATGTGTCTACCACTTAATCATCGTCCAACAACGCGCCACTTTAAAACCAAAACATCGCAAAAATTCCACCCTTTCGCCTCATTAAACCTTTTTCTCCGGCGTCAATTTGATCCCATTCTTGTCCAACTCCTCCTCTATCCACTCTGTAAACTTAGCAACATCCACATAAACCCCCGGTTGATCCACAACCCCGCACTTATTTTCCGCCCCCCACGAAACAATTCCGGTTTGCACAAACTGGTAGTCGTCCCCCACACACATCAAAGGTCCTCCTCCATCCCCCTTACACGTATCTTTGCCCTCTTCTCCCCCAGCGCACAAAAACGAAGAATGCAGATTAAACTCCTCCCCCAACTCAGTCTTGCGCAAAAGAGTCTGGCACCGTTGAAAATCAACCACTGGGATGTCAACCTTAGTCAGAGGAACGCTCTTCAAATCTTTATTTTCGCCCCACCCAACCGCCAGACATCTTCGTCCCACGAAGCTCTGATTGGCTTTGGGGAGACAAATTGAGTTAAGTCGGGTATTCGTGAAGTTGTATTCTTTATCCAAGATTAGTAAAGATAGGTCGTTGTAAGCCCCCCCTGAGTAAAATCCAGGGTGCTTGATGATTTTCGCGACGTTTCGTTCATCGTCAGCGTTAACCCCAAGGTTCTGGAAGGTATCGCGACTGGTAGCTACGACCTTGAACGCTTGCGGTTCTTTAACTTTGCTGAAACGAGGGTGAGTTAGGGTTGGTTTTTCGGGTTGTGGTACTTACGAAATGATGCGATGGGTGGCAGTTAGGACTACTTTCGGGTGGATTAGAGTACCAGCGCACTTGAATAAATAGGGGTTCTTGCGGTTGTTGCGTTTTTGGAAGATTTCGACTATCCATGGGATCTCTCCAGGGATAGTCGCTGCGGATTCTGTTTCTGGTGTCAAAATTCTAAGACCTATTTCCGTTTTGGCAATGCCACAGCCATAGTTGGGGTCCCATTTTCGTTCTTCTTCGGGAGTTTCGCTTGTGGTTGTAATACTAGAGCTATCAGAGCTGGAACTAGTTCTAGGGGTAGTAGTAACCTTGTCGTCAATTCTCGGTTCTTCCGTTCCATCTCCCTCGATCTCAGTCGTGTTTTTGCAGCACAAAAAGTCTGGGTCTGTGCAGCGTAGTTCTTTGGGTGGAGGACTAGGGAGGATGATTTTTACTAATGTCAAATTTTTACTTACGGTTTTACTTTATCCTGGATGCTACCATGAAATCGTTGAGTGCGCTGCAAAGGTAAAATGGAGTGCACGTGCAGTTGTAGAAGAATTCGAGAATGGTGTCGTTTGGGTGTTTTTCGGTTGTTCCATTCTTATTTTCACTCTGTGCTACTACGAACGATTCGTGATTCCCCAAATAAACACAAATAATAGCGATTAGAAACGTCACTACTAATCGGTAGAACATGGTCGATCTTGTAGTGGACGGACTATAACTGAAGGCATCGCATTGTGAAAAACCACAAACACGTTATTTATACAAGCAGGGTCACCGGGAGGCAACGATATTCATGTTCTTGATAAAGAAAAGATGTCTGGTAATCCCGTCGTAGAATCCTTTTATTGTTTATTATCGAGTTAATGGTCGGCCTTGACGGGATGGGAAAAGGGTGGACTTTCACATTACTGTTAAACGCAGTCAACATTATTATTATTATTAGACAACTAATGCTTAAGTCGCCTATTATGATTTATTAATACAGGTTTTCATAATTTATGTCCAAGTTTGTAACAAGGTATTCAATTTTTGTAGACACGTGTTTAATTGGTTGCATAACTAGACAATTGTAACCATACAAAGTAAAAAACATTGAAAATGATAAGATGAATTAATTTTTCATTTAACTTGACAATAAATAATGTTTATTGTTTAAATAAATACTTGATCTTTGGTTGGAAAATTATCCAACAAAACAAGATCTTCTTGGAAGCATTTTATTTTTGTTTGGAATAAATTGAAATCGTAAATTTTTCTCCCTCCAGTCGGGCGGGGAAAATTATGCGCTGGCGAGCTTGGATCTTCGATCTGGGAGCAGGATCACAGGAAGTCGAAAAAGTCTCCGAATTGAAAAATGCTTATTGTGTTAGCGCCACCTAGTAAATAGTTGCTCAACAATTTGACGTATAGTATAGAAACCTGTAAAATCTTGTAACTGTCGCAATGTGTCACAGGGTTCGGTGTTATCAGCACTACTAGTAATCTACTGTCAATTAGATGGCACTACGATCGAACATGAAAGCGGCTGTTATTTGTTTTTGTGCCGATCGATCACAGTTGGCGCCAAATTCAAACTGGAAGTTTTGAGAAGATTCAACAACTGGAGAATACGATAAGGAAAAAGTGGAAAATCAAAAAATTGTTAAATGGAAAAAGTGAAGAAGTTATAAAATAAAAAGGTAAAAATGGAGGAATTGAAAATTCGGAAAATATAGAAGAAGAAATTAAGAATTTGAAAGTTGGAAAAATTGAAAATGCGAAAATTCTAATATGAAAAATTCAAAAAACTGAATAATCGAAAAATCAACTGCAAGAAACGAAAAATCGAAAAGTGAAAAATGAAAATTTGGAAAAATCGAGAAATTAAAATATCGAAAAATTGATAAATCCGAAAAATGGAGAAACGGGAAATTCGAAAAACTAAAAAGTTTGAAAAATCCAGAAACTAAAAATCAAAAAATTTAAATAACGCCCAAAGCTGAAAGACGAAAAATTGAATAATTTGAAAATACAAAAGTTGAAAAATCGAAAAATTTTAAATCAAAAAATCGAAAAAATTGAACAATCGTAAAACTGAAAAAATAAAAATTGAATAATGGAAAAATACAAAAGCTGAAACTGAAGGTCGAGAAAATGAATATGTGATAAGTCGAAATTTTGAAAAATAGAAAAACTGAAAGCCCTTAAATTTTAAAAATCGGAAAATTAAAAATTATGAAACCAAAACTCCAAAAATTAAAAAGACGGAAAAATGGAAAAACTGAAAAATGAAAAAAACTGAAAAATCGAAAAATCGAAAAATCGGGAAATTAATAGGAAGTAATTAAGAAGTTGAAAAATCGATGAATTTTAAAACAATTTAAATTGAGAACCTGAAGATCGAGATATTGAAAAAACGAAACAACTGAAAAATCAAGAATTAGAAAATATTCAAAATTGAAAAATTGAAAAGCCAAAAACTCTAAAATCGATAAACTGAAAACACGAAAATTTGGAAAAATCGAAAAATTAAAATATCGAAAAAATCGAAAAATTGGAAAAACTGAAAGAGGAAAATTGAAAAATTAAAAACCCAGAAACTAAAAATCAAAAAATTAAAAGATTCCGAAAACTAAAAAAAACGAAAAATTGAATAATCGAAAAATACAAAAGCTGAAAAATCGAAAAATGAAAAAATTAAAATGGAGAAACTGAAGATCGAGAAAATGAAAAACGAAACCAAAAAATCAAAAATTTGAAAAAATACAAAATTGCAAAATTGAAAAAGCGAAAAATTTGGAAAACCGAAAAACTGAAAAATCGCAAAATTGATAAATCGAAAAACTGAAAAAAACGAGAAATTCACAGTTGAAAAATCGAAAAACTAAAAAATGGAAACTTGCAAAATTAAGCATACTAAAATCGAAAATTTGAATATTGAAAAATCCAAAATGTGATAAATCGAAATTTTGAAAAATAGAAAAACTGAAAGCCCTTAGAATTTAAAAATCGGAAAATTAACAATTCTGAAACAAAAATTCCAAAAATTAAAAAGATCGAAAAATGGAAAAAAACTGAAACAACGATAAATCTAAAAATCGAAAATCAAAAAAATTCAAAAGTTGAAAAATCGAAAAATTTTAAATCAAAAAATTAAAAAAAAATTCCTTAAATTGAAAACACGAAAATTGAATAATGAGAAAATACAAAAGTTCAAAAATCGAAAAAATAAAATTTAAACTGAGAAACTGAAGATCGAGAAATTGAAAAACGAAACAACTGAAAAATCAAAATTTAGAAAAAATTCAAAATTCAATTGAAAAAATTGAAAAAGCGAAATATTCTAAAATCCAAAAATTGAAAAAACGAAAATTTGGAAAAATCGAAAAATTAAAATATCGAAAAACTGATAAATTGAAAAATTCAAGGAACGAGAAATTCATAGTTGAAAAATCGAAAAAGTAAAAAATTTTAAAATAGAAACTTGGAAAATCAAACAAATTAAAAATCGAAAGAGAATATATTAAAAAACCGAAAAAAAATTGAAAAATCGAAAAACTGAAAATCCGAAAAATTTAAAAACGGAAAAATAAAAATTGGGAAACTAAAAATCCAAAAATTGAAAAAATCGTAACATGGAAAAGCTAATAAATGGAAAAAATTGAAAAAGCAAAACATCCAAAAATCAGAAAATTGAAAAATTCAAAAGTTGAAAAATCGAAAAATTTTAAATCAAAAAATCGAAAAATCGGAAAAACTGAAAGAGTAAAATTGAAAAACTGAAAAATTAAAAATCCAGAAACTAAAAATCAAAAAATTCAAAATTCCTAAAACTGAAAAAACGAAAAATTGAACTATGGGAAAACATAGAAGTTAAAAAAAAAATCGAAAAAATAAAAGAATTTAAATTGAGGAACTAAAGATCGAAAAATTGAATAATCGAAAAATTGAAAAGTTGAAAAAACGAAAAATTCAAAAAATTTAAATTGAAAAACTGAAGATCGAAAATTTGTAAAAACAAGAAAACTGAAAAATAAAAGATTAAAAAAAATCCAAAATCGAAAAAATTGAAAAAGCGAAAAATTCTAAAATCGAAAATTCGAAAAACGAAAACTTTGGAAACCGAAAAATTAAAAATCGAAAAATTAAATCGAAAAACTGAACTTACTGAAAAATGAAAAATTTGAAAAAATGAAAAATTGAAATTGAAAAAGCGAAAAACTCTAAAAGAGAAAAACTGAAAAATCAATAATTGTAAAAAATGTGAAATGTTGAAAATTCAAAAAATCAAAAATCGAGAAAGATAAAAATCGAAAATTAGAAAAGCGAAGAATTGAAAATCGAATAACAAAAAATAAAAAACACGGAATATTAAAAAATGGAAAATGTGATAAACCGAAATTTTGAAATATCAGAAAATTTTGAACAGTGAAAAATTGAAAAATTCAAAATCAAAAAATGAAAAAATTGTTTACAAAAAAAAAAAAAAACTTTTGTATTTTAATACAAAAGTTGAAAAACGAAAAATTAAAAACCCAAAAAATAAAAATCCTAAAACTGAAAAAACCATAAAATGAATAATCGTAAAATGCAAAAGTTGAAGAATCGAACAATTAAAGAATTTGTGATTTGAAACTATAGATCCAAAAATTGAAATAAAGAAACAACTGAATAATCAAAAATTAGAAAAAATCCAAAATTCAAGAATTGAAAAAATTGAAAAAGCGAAAAATTCTAAAATTCAAAAACTGAAAAAACGATAATTTGGAAAAATCAAAAAATTAAAATATCGAAAAATTGATAAATCGAAAAATTCAAGGAACGAGAAATTCATAGTTGAAAAATCGAAAAACTAAAAATCAAAAGAGTGAATATTGAAAAATCGAAAAACTAAAAATCCGAAAAATGTAAAAACGGAAAACTAAAAATTGGGAAATCGAAAATACAAAAATTAAAATAGAAATATTTTTAAGCAAAAAATTGAAAAATAAAAAAAATTGAAAAAGTGAAACTGAAAAATTGAAAAACTAAAACTTCAGGAACTAAAAATCAAAAAACAAAAAATTGAATAATCGGAAAATACAAAAGTTGAAAGATCGAAAAATTTTAAAAATTTGAAGTGAGAAAATTTGAAGAACGAGAAATTGAATCAACGAAACTGGAAAATCAAAATTTTGAAAAAATGCAAAATTGAAAACATAGAAAAAGGGGAAAAATTCTATAATAGAAAAACTGAAAAAACGGAAAATTTGAAAACTGAAAAATTGAAGAAACCCCAAATTGATAAACCGAAAAACTGAAGAAACGAGAACTTCATAGCTGAAAAATTGAAAAACTAAAAAATAAAAAATGAAAACTGGTACAATTGAACAAACTGAAAATCGAAAATTTGAATATTGAAAAATCCAAAATGTGATAAATCAAAATTTTGAAAAATCGAAAAACTGAAAATCCAGAAAGTTTGGAAAATTAAAAATTATGAAATCAAAACTCCAAAAATTAAAAAAATCGAAAAATGGAAAAACTGAAAAATGGAAAAAATTGAAAAAGCGAAAAATCCAAATATCGGAAAATCGAAACATTTTAAATGAAAAAATCGAAAAATCGGAAAATCCGAAAGAGAGAAATTGAAAAACTGAAAAATTAAAAATCCAGAAACAAAAAATCAAAAAATTAACTTTCCTAAAACTGGAAAAACAAAAAATTGAATAATCGAAAAATTGAAAAGTTGTTTAAATTGACAAACTGAAGATTGACAAATTGAAATAACAAGAAAACTGAAAAATCAAAAATTAGAAAAAATCCAAAATTGAGAAAAATGAAAAAAATTGAAAAAGCGAAAAATTGAAAGTCTGAAAAGTTTAAAAATCGGAAAATAAAAAATTGGGAAACCAAAAATCCAAAAATTGAAAAACCTTGAAACTGAGAAACCGAAAAATTGATTAATCGGAAAGTACAAAGGTTGAAAAATCGAAAAATCAAAAAAACATAAATTGAGAAATTGAAAATCAAAAAATTATTGAAAAAACGTAACTGAAAAATCAAAAATTGGAAAAAATGAAAAATTGAAAATGCGAAAAACTGAAAAATAATCGAGAAAGTAAAATTCGAAAAGATAAAAATCAAATTAGAAAATCGAATAACTATAATTAAAAAAAAACGACATATTAAAAAATGGAAAATGTGATAAACCGAAATTCTGAAATAGCAGAAAAGTTTGAATACTGAAAAATTAAAAAATTAAAAAATCAAAAAGTTAAAAATTTTGGAAAATCCAAAACTGAAGAAACGAAAAATTGAAAAATACAAAAGTTGAAAAACGAAAAATCAAAAACTCAAAAAATAAAAATACTAAAACTGAAAAAATGATAAAATGAATAATCCCAAAATGCAAAAGTTGAAAAATTGAAAAATTGAATTAACAAAACAACTGAAAAATCGAAAATTCGAGAAATTAAAAACAATGAAAAAGCGAAAAATTGCAAAATCGGAAATACAAAAATTGAAACGAAATAACTGAACAGTCGAGAATTTAAAAATTCGAAAGTCGAAAAATAAAAAAACAAAAAGTCGTAATATTTGAAATATCGAAAAATTGAAAAGTCAAAAAAACTGATTAATCGGAAAACTGAAGAAACGAGGAATTAAAAGCTGAAAAAACAAAAAAAGTAACAAATTTAAAAGTGGAAACTTGGAAAATTGAACAAACTAAAAATAAAAAAAATTAATATTGAAAAATCCAAAATGTGATTAATCGAAATTTTGAATAATCGAAAAACTGATAATCCGAAAAGTTTAAAAATCGGAAAATTAAATATTATGAAACCAAAACTCCAAAAATTAAAAACATCGAAAAATGGAAAACACTGAAAAAGCAAAAAATCTAAAAATCTAAAAAATGAAAAACTCAAAAGTTGAAAACTCGAGAAAACTGAAAAGGTGAAATTGAACAATTGAAAAATTAAAAATCCAGAAATTAAAAATAAATCAAAGAAGAAAAATCAGAAAACAAAAACCGAAAAATTTGAAACAGTGAAAATTTAAAAAATCGAAAAAGCCAATAACTGAAAAATCAGAAAACTCAAGGAACAAGGAATTCTAAACTTGAAAAATCGAAAAATAAGAAAATTAAAAGCTGGAGTCGTGAAAAATTTAAGAAACGTAAAATCGAAAAAATAAAATCGATCAAGTATAAATCAAAAATTGAAACACTGAAATTCGAAAAAGTGCAAAATCAAAAATTGTAAAAATCGATAAAAACATAAATTGAAAAAAAGGAAACCTCTGGAAGTGTATTTTGGGTTGCATCCCCGACTTGATTAGCTCATTATCACGCATGAATCATCGTTAAATTTGTTTTAAAAAAAACCGAGCTCATTATAGGCAACAACTTTTACACACCTCTGAATACTATATTGCCTCGAGTGGTGACCCAATCTCCTAAATAAATTTACATAATCCATTCAATGTGGGACCCCCACTCGGCGACTCTGAACTGTTCCGCAAGTTGCCACTAACCCTGTTTATTGTTATTGTTGTTAGAAGTGTTCGCGCATGTTAGATAACTCCCAACGAAAACAAACCTCCAGCGCTTTTACTTAGTTAGTAGCTACTACACAGCCCGGAGTCACACACCTGTACACTGCGTGATATCAAACAAGACACCGCTCGTAAAACCGTGCTATATAATTTAATTTTTCCGAGGCTGTGTTCACGTTGTGCCAATTTATGGACCCAGATGTAAGCGTCCCAAGGTAAGAAAATCCCATTTCCGCCCATACAATAAATTCCCGCAAAGTGTAAATGGAAATTTACGGAATTTTAGCACTTTGTTGCAAAAATAAACGCACAGTATGAATGAGAATCAACCGGAATCGATGAACGAAGTGAGAAAAATAAATATGTAATTGTGAGGGTTGTTGACTATCAAAAAAATATACATTTTCGTGTTAAAATTATTTGCTAAAATTAATTTTTGTTTGTTTGTGAAAATCCAAGCTTTAGTAATTTTTTTTGTTTGTTTTTTCTGACAAGGTCTGTTCGTGAGGGTGCATGATGAACAAACAGTCGTGAATCTAACATAAACAATTCTGCAATTCGCCTTGGTCCACGTGCCACGACCCGAAATAAACGCACGTGTGAGTCAGATCTACTTTGTAGTTGACAATGCGCAGATCATATTTATAAAGTGTCCTTTGTTCGACGATATCTGGTACTCTATTATCTATTACTTCGTTAGCATTTGCGCTATTACGTTACTTCCTACACTTGTTACAAGTGCCAAATTTGGACGTTTATTTTTATGTTCGCTAATTGTATTTGAAATGTAAGTTTTCGCTTCAAATAAACAAAACCGACGTAGGTGGACTTGAGTGGTAGCACGTGGGGAAATTAACATACCTACTAATTCTCAGAATGTTTTTTTTTTTAATTTGTAAACATACATTTTTAAATAAAAATGTGTCTTGTTGGAGATATCTCTAACGATAAACCCGTAAGGCAATACTATATCAGGTATTACTGTTTCCTATTTCACAAATGAAAGTAGAAAACCGACAACTGCGCAAATATTATATCATTTATAAGGATGTGAAATGTAAAACTTTAACGGCGGCTTTGATTAATATTGCTTGAGGGAAAGTAATCAGGTTTAAAACGAGCCTAATTTAAAATTAAACCTGCACAATAATATGTAATCTGTTTAACTTTCGGGTCACTAAAATAACGCGGGATCGAAAAAAAAAAAAAATAGTCAAAGTTGGATGTACACGAAAAACCGTAAATTTTTCTTCAAAACGGGCACAGAGTTAAAATTTTCGATTTACAAACATTTTGTATGTTACTAAATTGTGCGATAAACGAACGTTTTAAGGTTTTTTTGTATACCTAATTGCACTATTTTTCCGTTAAACGATTACTTTGTGAAGGTCAATGTTTTTCCACTATTGATTATTATAATATTTATATTATTAATACTAGTTTAATTTAAGAGAGATGTACATAAAATATTTGCCTTATGTCATCTACACATAAAGAAGAGATTTTTTTTGTAAAATTCCGAGGGTTAGTTTTATTTTTTCTTTTAAAAAAGTGAAATTCTATTCTGCAGTTATTTGTTCACACTCATGTTATTACGTCACCAAATTAGGTCTTGTGAAGTAATTTCAATGAATCTCGAGATTTTTTTGTGTATTGTTTTTGAAGTAATTTGAAAGAATCTCGGTGACCCCATTTGTTCTGTTTTTGAAGTAATTCGAATGAATCTCGGGAACTCCTTTTGTTTTTGAAGTATCTTGAAAGAATCTGGGGGATCCCTTGTCTTCTTTTTAAAGTAATTTAAAAGAATATCGAGGACACCTTGCGTCTGGTTTTTGAAGTAGTTTGAAAAATTCTCGGGGACCCCTTCTGTTTTGTGTTTGAAGTAATTTGAAAGAATCTCCTGGACCACTTCTGTTTTGATTTTGAAATAATTTGAAAGAATCTTGGGATCCCTTGTTTTCTTTTTGAAGTAATTTGAAAGAATTTCAGGAACACCATATGTTTTGTTTTTGAAGTAGTTTGAAAGAATCTCGGGAACCCATTGTGTTTGGGTTTTGAAGTAGTTTGAAAGAATCTCGGGAACCCATTGTGTTTTGTTTTTGAAGTAATTTGAAAGAATTTTATTAAACAATTACTTTATGAAGGTCAGTGTTTTTCCATTGATTAACTATAATATTTAACTTAAGTATATAGAGATGTACATAAAATATTTGCCTTATATCGTCTGCACATAAAGAAGGGAAATTTAACTGAAATATTTTTTTTCCAAAATTCTGAAGATTTAAAAAAAGTTAAATTCTAGTCTGCAATTAGTTGTCCACACTAATTACGTCTTTCGAAGTAATTTCAATGAAACTCGAGATTTTTTTGTGTGTTGTTTTTAAAGTAATTTGAAAGAATCCGCAGACCCTCTTGCGTCTGGTTTTTGAAGTAGTTTGAATGAATCTCGTTGGTCTTGTTTTTGAATTAGTTTGAAATAACCTCTTGAAGAAATTGTGTCTAGCTCTTGAAGTGGTTTGAAAGAATCTCGGGGACCCCTTTTGTCTGGTTTTTTGAAGTAGTTTGAAAGAATCTCGGCCCCTTTTGTTTTGTTTTTCAAGTAGTTTGAAAGAATCTTGGGGACCCCTTTGTTTTATTTTCGAAGTAAATTTAAAGAATCTTAGGATCCTTTGTCTTATTTTTGAAGAATTTCTGGGGTTTCTTGTTTTGTTTTCGAAGTAATTTGAAAATTACTGGGGAATCACTTGGGTATGGTTTTTGAAGTAGTCTGGAAGAATCTCGGGGACCTCTTGTGTTTTGTTTTTGAAGTAATTTGAAAGAATCTCTGGAATCTCTTGTATTGCTTTTGAAGTAATTTGAAAGAATCGTGGGGACCCCTTGTTGGTTTTGTTTTTGAAGTAATTTGGAAAACCTCGGAGACCCCTCGAGTTTTATTTTGCAGAAGATTGAACAAATCTCGCGGACCCCTTTTGTTTTGTTTTTAAAGTAGATTTAAAGAATCTTGGCATCCCTTGTCTTGTTTTTGAAGTAATTTGAAAGAATCGCGGGGAGCCCTTGTGTTTTATGTTTGAAATAGTTTGAAAGAATCACCTGGACCACTTCTGTTTTGTTTTTGAAGTAATTTGAAAGAATCTCGGGAACATCTTTTGTTTTGTTTTTGAAGTAATTCGAAAGAATTTCATTAAACGATTACTTTATGAAGGTCACTGTTTTTCCATTGATTAACTATAATATTTATATTGTTAACACTAGCTTAACTTCAGTAGAGATGTACATAAAATATTTGCCTCATATCGGGAAATTTAAGTGAAACAAATTTTGTTTTTGCAAAATTCTGAAGAGTTGAAAAAAGTTTAATTCTAGTCTGCAATTATTTGTCCACACTCATGTATTATTGCGTCACCAAATTACGTCTTTTGAAGTAATTTCAATGAATCGCGAGATTTATTTTGTGTGTTCTTTTTTAAGTAGTTTGAACGAATCTCGTTGCTCTTGTTTTTGAAGTAATTTGAAATAATCTCCGTGATCCCTTGTCTTGCTTTTGAAGTAGGTTGAAATAACCTCTTGAAGAAATTGTGTCTAGTTTTTGAAGTGGTTTGAAAGCATCTCGGGGACCCCTTGTGTCTGGTTTTTGAAGTAGTTTGAAAAAATCTCGGATACCACTTGTGTTGGGTTTTTGAAGCGGTTTGAAAGAATCTCGGGGACAACTTATATCTTGTTTTTGAAGTAATTTGAAATGAATCTCGGGAACTCATTTTGTTTCTGTTTTTTTTTTTTGAAGTAGTTTAAATGAATCTTGGGAGCTCCTGTGCCCTGTGGGTCTTGTTCTTGAAGTAATTTGGAAAATCTCGGAGAACCCTTGAGTTTTATTTTTGAAGTAGTTTGGAAGAATCTAGGGGACCTCTTATGGATCTTGTTTTTGAAGTAATTTCAAAAATCTCCGAGACGCCTTGAGTTTAATTTTTGAAGTAGTTTGAAAGAATCTTGGGGACCCCTTTTGTTTTGTTTTTGGAGTAATTTGAAAGAATCTCATTAAATGATTACTTTATGAAGGTCAGTGTTTTCCGTTGATTAACTATAATATTTATATTGTTAACAGTGGCTTAACTAAGGTAAGGATGTACATAAAATATTTGCCTTATATCGTCTGCACATAAAGACGGGAAATTTAAGTGAAACCAATTTTTTTTTGCAAAATTCTGAAGGTTTTAAAAAAGTTAAATTCAAGTCTGCAATTATTTGTCCAGATTCATGTATTATTATGTCACCAAATTACGTCTTATGAAGTAATTTCAATGAATCTCGAGATTTTTTGTGTGTATTATTTTTGAAGTAGTTTCAACAAACCTCGTTGGTCTTATTTTTGAAGTAATTTGAAAGAATCTCGGGGACCCCTTATGTTTGGTTTTTGAAGTAATTTGAAATGAATCTCGGGAACCCATTTTTTTTTTTAAGTAGTTTAAATGAATCTTGGGACCTCCTGTGCCCTGTGGGTCTTGTTTTTGAAGTAATTTGAAAAACCTCGGAGACCCCTTGAGTTTTATTTTTGAAGAAATTTAGAAGAATCTGGTGACCCCTTTTGTATTATTTTTGAAGTAGATTTAAAGAATCTTAGGATCCCTTGTCTTGTTTTTGAAGTAATGTGAAAGATTATCGAGGATCTCTTGTCTTGTTTCTGAAGTATTTTTGAAGAATTTCTGGGGTTTCTTGTCTTGTTTTGGAAGTAATTTGAAAATATGTGGTGAATCACTTGGCTATGATTTTTGAAGTAGTCTGGAAGAATTTCGGGGACCGCTTGTGTCAAGGTTTGAAGTAATTTGAAAGAATTTTGGGGACCCGTTGTTGGTTTTGTTTTTGAAGTAATTTGGAAAACCTCGGAGACCCCTCGAATTTTATCTTTGCAATAGTTTGGAAGAATTTCGGGGACCCCTTTTGTTTTGTTTTTGAAGTAGATTAAAAAAATATTGGGATCCATTGTCTTGTTTTTGAAGTGATTTGAAATAATCTGGGGGATCCCTTGTGCCTGGTTTCTCAAGCAGTTTGTAAAGATCTCGGAGACCATTGGTTTTTGAAGTGGTTTGAAAGAATTTCGGGGACCATTTTTGTTTTTTTTTTTTTGAAGCAGTTTAAATGAATCTTCGGACCTCCTCTGCCCTGTGTGTTTGTGACTCTTGTTTTTGAAGTAATTTTAAAAAACCTCAGAGACCCCTTGAGTTTTATTTTTGAAGTAGATTTAAAGAATCTTAGGATCCCTTGTCTTGTTTTTGAAGTAATGTGAAAGATTATCGGGGATCCTTTGTCTTGTTTCTGAAGTATTTTTGAAGAATTTCTGGGGTTTCTTGTCTTGTTTTCCAAGTAATTTGAAAATACCTGGGGGGTCACTTGGGTATGGTTTTTGAAGTAGTCTGAATATGAATCTCGGGGACCGCTTGTGTTTTGTTTTTGAAGTAGATTTAAAGAATCTTAGGATCGCATGTCTTATTTTTGAAGTAATGTGAAAGATTATCGTGGATCCTTTGTCTTGTTTCTGAAGTATTTTTGAAGAATTTCTGGGGTTTCTTGTCTTGTTTTCTAAATAATTTGAAAATACCTGAGGGATCACTTGGGTATGGTTTTTGAAGTAGTCTGAATATGAATCTCGGGGACCGCTTGTGTTTTGTTTTTGAAGTAATTTGAATTTCTGGAATCCTTTGTCTTGCTTTTGAAGTAATTTGCAAGAATATTTGGGACCCCTTCTGGGTCTTGTTTTTGAACCAATCTGGAAAATCTCGGAGACCTCTTGAATTTTATTTTTGAAGTAGTTTGGAAGAATCTCGGGGACCTCTTATTGATCTTGTTTCTGGAGTAATTTCAAAATTCTCTGGGACACCTTGAGTTCAATTTTTGAAGTAGTTTTCAAACTACTTCAAAAATTGAACCTCGGGGACCACTTATGTTTTGTTTTTGAAGTAATTTGAAACAATCTCTGGAATCCCTTGTCTTACTTTTGAAGTAGTTTCAAAGAATCTTGGGGACCCCTTGTTGGTTTTGTTTTTGCAGTAATTTGGAAGACCTCGGACACCTATCGAATTTTATTTTTGCAATAGTTTGGAAGAATTTCGGTCACTGCTTTTGTTTTGTTTTTGAAGTAGATTTAAAGAATTTTGGGGATCCCTTGTCTTGTTTTTGAAGTAATTTAAAAGAATCTCTGTGATCTCTTGTCTTAATTTTGAAGTAGTTTGAAGAAATTGTGTCTAGTTTTTGAAGTGGTTTGAAAGAATCTCGGGGACCCCTTGTGTCTTGTTTTTAAAGTATGTAGTTTGAAAAAATCTCTTGAAGAAATTGTGTCTAGTTTTTGAAGTGATTTGGAAGAATCTCGGGGACCTGTTTTGTTTTGTTTTTGAAGTAATTTAAAAGAATCTCGGGGACCTTTTGTGTTTTGTTATTGAAATAATTGGAAAGAATCTCGGGGATCCCTTGTCTTGTTTTTGAAGTAATTTGAAAGAATCTCGGGAACTCCTTGTTTTTTGTTTTTGAAGTAACTCGAAAGAATCTCGGGGACCCCTTATGTTTTGTTTTTGAAGTAATTAAAAGAATCTCTGGAATCCCTTGTCTTGCTTTTGAAGTAATTTGAAAGAATCTTGGGGACTCTTTGTTGGTTTTGTTTTTGAAGTAATTTGGAAAATCTCGGAGACTCCTCGAGTTTTATTTTGCAGAAGTTTGGAAGAACCTCGAGGACCCGTTTTGTTTTGTTTTTGAAGTAATTAGAAAGAATCTTGGGGATCCCTTGCCTTGTTTTTGTAGTAATTTAAAACAATCTCTGTGCTCTCTTGTCTTATTCTTGAAGTAGTTTGAAATAATCTCTTGAAGAAATTGTGCCTAGTTTTTGAAGTAGTTTGAAAGAATCTCGGGAATTCCTTGTGGGTCTTGTTTTTGAAGTAGTTTGAAAAAGTCTCGAGCACCCCTTGTATCTGGTTTTTGAAGTAATTTGAAAGAATCTAGGGACCTATTTTGTTTTGTTTTTGAAGTAATTTAAAAGAATTTCGGAACCTTTTGTGTTTTGTTATTGAAATAATTGGAAAGAATCTCGGGGATCCCTTGTCTTGTTTTTGAAGTAATTTGAAAGAATATCGGGAACCCCTTGTTTTTTGTTTTTGAAGTAACTCGAAAGAATCTCGGGAACCCGTTGTGTCTATTTTTTTTTTAAGTAATTTGAAAGCATCTCGAGAACCCCTTGTGTCTGGTTTTTGAAGTAATGTGAAACAAAATAGTTTGATCAGGTTGTGTATAGGATACATTAAACATTTATTGTCATTTGTGTTTTAGTAATAACATCAATATTAATTTTTTTTTACACAGTAATTACTATCCATTTTTCCTAATCTTGAAATGTTCAAGTGAAAAAGTCGCCAAGTTGGCATTGTGTTTTCCACAGAAGAAAACGTAGCCAAAAACGTAGCCAATCCATACGATTGTGTACAATTGAAATTTGGCAGAGTACTTGATAAGATAAGAGTGTTTTTGGCAAATGACATATCTTCCAAGAAAATAGAGGGCGGGTGGGCGGGGCTAGCATTTTTTAAGATATGACTGTTTTTGACACTTCATATTTTCAACCATTTTCGAAGATTAGCTAGACATTTTCTGGTAGATTGCGACATCCAGAAGCCATTTTAGGCTTCGTTTCATCGAAAATTTCTACCTTTCTTCCGAAATCGCCAGTTGAAATGTAGCAGTTTTTACAGTTCCAGTAGCAAATAGTCTACAAAAAATTTACCATTAGCGCTTTTTTTTTTACTTTTTTTCACATCCTAGATTCTCTTAGTTTCCACTCCCACTCCATAGAAGAAAATAAGCCCCGCCCACCCACCCTGTCTTCATTTCAGTGATTAATTTTATTCGGTCTGAATGAAATGAATGATCTTATACTGAACAGAAATAAAATTAGTCGTTAGAATGAAAAGAGTGGGGGTGGGCGGGGCTAGCCCTATAGATAAAACTAATTTTGGCCAATGACGTACCTTCCAAGCAAATAGAGGGTGGGTGGGCGGGGCTAGTATTTCCTAAGGTAAGACTGATTTTGGCACTTTCGACCACTATTCAACCATTGTCGAAACTTAGCCAGTCATTTTCTTGTAAATTTCGACATGTAGAAGTTATCTTCGTTTTTTCAGAATCGCCAATTGAAATATGGCAATTTTTACGATTATTAAAAAATTTTTTTTCAGTCCGAATTTTTCGGAAATTGTTAATTCCAGATTTTTTCGACTGAGAATTTATGAATTTCGTTGAGCTTTCGTTTACGAAGAAAAAAAAGTTGCGTTAATTTCATTATACGAAAAAATGAGGTTAAATTGTACCGCTCTGCCAATCTGCTTCGTCATCTGTCGTTAATTAAATTTTAGATTTATTACTCCTATTATAGACATTCTTCATAATATTATCCAAAAATCAAGGCCAACTTGACTATTTAAATTTTTAAAGTAACATACTCCGAAATTTATGGTTTATGAACCCGCCTCATTTTTGTTTTATTTACAGGGATTATAATAAAAAAATATGAATTAAAACTCACAACTTTTAATTTTTGCCACTTCTAGAGTTTTGGTTCCAAATATGTAATTGAAAAACAAAAAAAAATCTTGGTACGGCATAAAATAATAGTAACAGGAGTAACAACTAAATAACTAAATAACTGCTCAAATCGGTCGGGAAAGACGTCTATCTTATCGGAAAAGGCAGATTCATAAACCACAGCTATAGAAATATTGTATTTTATAAAATTTAATCAAATTTTACTTATTTAACGATACTTCTAAAATATTTAAAAAATTTTGTGAGCCTATGAACCAATATGCTTATTTTGTAGCTTTTAAAATTAAGAAGACTATGAATAAACATTAGTAATAATTTATTCCCATTGTTTTTGAAAACAATACTACATCTTATTGTATAATTTTTAGCGATACCGTAATGACGGAAGAGGATACTCTTTATCATGAAGTCGAAGATATCATGTGCGACCAAGGAATAATATCGCAAGAACTGAACATGGTGGACTTTGACTCCAAGGCATCTCACGACATTGTTCCTGTGGCGTAAGTACCATCTGATTTATAATAATGCTAAAAGTTCTTCAAGAATTTTAACTTAACCGGTCGCTAGTAGTTAATTAAAGTTAATTTATTCTAACATTATTCAAATAAAAGTGCACGAACAATAGTTTCCACATGTAACTCTACAAATTACATACTGTGAAGCAATAACATAAAGAACCTGATAATAAAGCTTATCAATAGTGTCGCTACTGGAATTTAAACACACAATATCGTACTTTAACGTTATTCATTTAAACAAATTGTAGAGATTATATTTCAAAAAAATTAGTCTTAAAGTACACATTATGTCAAACTGATAAAAAACGCTTTTAAATAGACCGTAAATATTAATAAATGTAGATTAATGGACAAATAATACGAGCTGATTAAAATAGTTGAACTCTTTCTTGGTTCATTGCCGTTGGCTCTACTCCAAAATCGTTGAATATTTTTATAAGGACCTTTTTTTCATGCCAAAAAAATTTCGTTAGCAACCTAAATCCATTGAACTCTTTGTCTGATTATGATTAAACGCGATATGCTAAATCGTGTTAATCGGAACTTATCGATGTTATCGTCTCATCTTTTTTACTAAATTTAATTAGTGCCGACGTTTGATATAATATATTTAGCGATTATCCGAACGGTTACAGTTATCTCGAAAGATTTCTGTTTTATACGTCAAGTTCGCATATATTTATTTTTACGAAATAGTTAAAACTATTTGTGTCTATTTTCACGCCTTATAAATGTGTCTGGGTTGTTTTAAAATATTTTACTATCTCGAGTGGGCGTCCTGCATTCAGATTTTCCGAGAAACTTTCCAACAGTTGAATGGCGGAAAATTACGCTTTCGATGACAGAATCAGTTCGGGTCCATAATCTAATAATAATTGTGACTTTGCAGACCAAAATTGTTGACTTTAATTTTAGAAATATAAATAATTAGACAGACTCAAATTTTCCGTGTAGTTGAAGCTATTATGTAGATGGTTAATCCTCGCCAAAAATTTGATGACATCACCTCAAAAGTTTGCAACTGAAACGTATACCAAGGACGGAATTTTTCATAAAAAATTTTGTTTTTAAATATTACGATTTTTCCGATGAAAGTATAAATATCTTACGAACAATTATTAATTGAAAGCACTTAACTTATTTAATTTCTTGCTTGTAAATCTTAAAAACATACAAACTATTAGAGATAAAAATGGAACACTCGTGTAGTGATAAAGATTGTTAGATTAAAGTCTGTTTCTAAAAGACGAACAGTAATAAAATAATCTCCCTGACAGACAGCGGCGTACCCAGATATAAAGTTTAACTGATAATTTTTTTACACGAGATCTAATAAACATTTTATCATATTTATTTTCGTTATAATTGTATTTTAATTTATTAATTTAAATTATAATGTGCTACATTTCACACTTAAAATCCGTCTATGTACTCAAATCGTGGTCAATGGACAGCGGCGGAGAACTGTTTTGTTTTTATATGACGTTTCTTCAAGTTAGAAAAAATTGATCTAAAATTATAGTGCAGAAAAATAAGAATAGTACTGTGTTCCCAGAATATTTGTGATGACGTCATTAACTTTTTGGCGGGATGAATAAACAATTTTTAATTATTAATTATTTTTCGCCCCATAAATGAAAAATTCATATTTCCTTGCAAAAATGTAACATTTTAACCACGTTCAAAGTTTCTTGTTGTGAAAAGATGGCTAAGTATGTTAAGCAACAAAGGCAAAATATAAGCCCCGCCCACCCACCCTATCTCACTTCTGATGATTTTTTTATTCGTCGTAAGCCGAGGGGCGGAGCTTAATCATAAAATCCTTATTTCTCTACGAGAAATTCAAAATATGTTTTTGAGTTTCTAAAAAGACGACTATATTAAGAAAAATGGCAAAATATAAGCCCCGCCCACCCGCCCTATCTCAATTGTGATTATTTTTTTTTTAATCTTCGAGAGCCAAAGGAGCGGAATTTAATTGCAGAATCCATATTTTCTTACAAAAGTATACCATTTTAATCGTGTTTTAAGTTTCAAAGGAAAAAAATCGTCACAATTGAAATGAGGTGGGGGGGCGGGTTTTATATTTTGCCTTTTTCTTAATGTATTCTTTGAACAACACGATACTCAAACACTCTCTTGGATCGTGTTTTTTATTGCTCTCTCAGTAGTAGAAGTTTACAGTTGTACCGAGAGAACAATAAAAACACGATGAAAGACAGCCATGGATTTTTGAAGGTTGTCTTTGATTGTTGCGCTTTCATTTCACTCAATGCTTTTCTTCGTTCATGTTTTTTATTGCCCTTTCGGTACTATAAAAGTTTACGAATGTATCAAGAGAGCAATAAAAAAAACGATCTCAATTTTCAATTGTGATGAATCTTTCATTCGTTGTCAGATCGAGGGGCGGGGCTTAATTACGAAGAATTAAGAAGAATTTACCATTTTAAACATGTTTTAAGTTTCTTGTTGTGAAAAGACGACAACGTATATTAAGAAAAATGACAAAATATAAGCCCCGCCCACCCGCCCTATCACAATTGTGATGATCTTTTTTAATAGTCGAGAGCCAAAGGAAAGGAATTTAATTGCAAAATCCATATTTCTTGAAAATCAATTACCATTTTAATCGCGTTTTAAGTTTCTAAGAAAAAAAATCATCACAATTGAGATGGGGTGGGTGGGTGGGGTTTATATTTTGTTTTGTTTTCTTAATGTACATAGTATTTTTTGAACAACACGATACTCAAAAACATGTTTTTAATCTCTTGTAAAGAAATAAGTATTTGCCGTTAAGCTCCGCCTCCTTGGTTCACGGCGAATGAAAAAATTATTACAACTGAGACAGGGCGGGTGGGCGGGCTTACATTTTACCGTGTTCTTTTAATATGTGTAGACTTTTTTTCATAATATGAAACTTAAAACATGTTTAAAATGGTAAATTTTTATAAGGATATTCAGATAATAGGGAAAAACAAAAATAGTGCTCTGTTCCTAGAACGTTTGCGATGACGTCATTGATTTTCTGCAGGGGATGAATCTACAAATTTTAGTCTTTGATCTGTAATTCTTAAACAAATAAATGTTGCCAAGATTCCAAAAAAAATTGTTTCGTAAATTTTAAGACAGACAGAAAGTTGAAAATAGAAGTGAATTAATAAATCAAAAATATAGAAGAAGAGTAAAAAAAATCTCCTGAAAACAAAAAACAGTATAATAAAGCTGAAAATAACATGTAGTATTTTTATATGATGTTCCTTAAAGTATAAAAAATTGATCTATAAATATACAGACAATACAGAGGAATAAAAATAGTAGTCTGTTTCTAGAACGTTTGCGATGACGTCATTAATTTCTTACAGAGGACGAATTAACAAATTTTAATCGTTTTTCTATAATCACTGAATAAATCAATAAATCTTGCCAATATTCCACAAAAAAGTTGCGTATATTTTAAGACATCGAGAAAATTAAAAATAGAAGTGAATTAATAAATCAAAAATATAAAGGAAAAGTCAAAAAATTGCCTGAAGAAAAAAAAAAATATAATAAGGCTAAGAATAATAGTATATTTTATATGATGTTCCTTCAAGGACGTAAGAATTGATTTAAAATTTTAAATAAATTTAAATTTAAAATAAATAAATGTTAGTCTTTGTTCTATAATTATTAAGTAAATAAATATTAGTGTTTTCTCAAAATTCCAAAAAAAAAAAATCGTTACGTAAATTTAAGACACAGAAAATTGAAAACAGAAGTGAAATAATAAAACAAAAATATGAAGAAGAATAAAAAAATTTCTGAAGATAAAAACAGTATAATAAGGCTGAGAATAATAGTATTTTTCTATGATATTCCTTCAAGTACGAAAAAATTAATTTAAAATTATTCAGACAGTACAGAGGAATAAAAATAATAGTTTGTTCCTAGAACATCTGCGATGACGTCATTAATTTTGTACAGGAGACGAATAAATAAATTTTAGTCTTTGTTCTAGAATTATTAAATAAATAAATATTAGTGTTTTCTCAAAATTCCAAAAAAAAAAATATTTACGTAAATTTAAGACACAGAAAATTGAAAACAAAAGTGAAATAATAAAACAAAAATATAAAGAAGAATACAAAATTTTCTGAAGGTAAAAACTATATAATAAGGCTGAGAATAATAGTATTTTTTCTATGATGTTCCTTCAAGTACGAAAGAATTAATTTAAAATTATTCAGACAGTACAGAGGAATAAAAATAATAGTATGTTCCTAGAACATCTGCGATGACGTCATTAATTTTGTACAGGAGACGAATAAATAAATTTTAGTCTTTGTTCTATAATTATTAAATAAATAAATATTAGTGTTTTCTCAAAATTCCAAAAAAAATATTTACGTAAATTTAAGGCACAGAAAATTGAAAACAAAACTGAAATAATAAAACAAAAATATAAAGGAAAATAAAAAATCTTCTGAAGACAAAAACAGTATAATAAGACTGAGAACAATAGTATTTTTTCTATGGTATTCCTTCAAGTACGAAAGAATTAAGTTAAAATTATTCAGACAGTACAGAGAAATAAAAATAATAGTATGTTCCTAGAACATCTGCGATGACGTCATTAATTTGGTACAGGAGACGAATAAATAAATTTTAGTCTTTGTTCTATAATAATTATTAAATAAATAAATATTAGTGTTTTCTCAAAATTCCGAAAAAAAATCGTTACGTAAATTTAAGACACAGTAAATTGAAAACAGAAGTGAAATAATAAAACAAAAATATAAAAGAATAAAAAAATTTCTGAAGATAAAAACAATATAATAAGGCTGAGAATAATAGTATTTTTTCTATGATGTCCCTTCAAGTACGAAAGAATTAATTTAAAATTATTCAGACAGTACAGAGGAATAAAAATTATAGTTTGTTCCTAGAACATCTGCGATGACGTCATTAATTTTGTGCAGGAGACGAATAAATAAATTTTAGTC